ATGTTGGAGTCTGTTATGTTTTGTGTTTACGTTTTTCTCTTCAGTCTCGTTAAAGTGTTGAGTATTAATTCCTGTACTTGGAAAAGTTTTCTTTCATAATCATCACACTTCTTGGAAATTAAATCCCGCAATCTACTGGTGTTTATGGTTGTAGCTTTTATTTTAGCATTTGTATATGGAAGAACACTAAATACTAAATTTGCAAATAGATTCTAGTAAGACATATCCAGATATGGCTATGGCAGATTAGGAGAATATCCCCCATTTGTTAAAAGTCTGTCCAGTGAAGCTCGTGCTGTTACATGTGTTGGAGATTTAACATCTTTAGGTAGTTATTACATGATATGAGGTGATACATGGTAATTGTTTGCTTAAGAAGTGTCAGCATCATTTGTCATGATGAAGAATTCATCTGTACACCCACGTGATGCAACTATTTCTCAGAGGTAGTGAAACTATTAGGCTGCTCGACTACTATTTGTATACAGTCATTACTGGGTGAAGTTCACAATTCATATTAGTCCATGTAGACGGTTAAATATGTGCTTGTACTTCAACTTTCTCGTACTGGACTACAGATTTAGACAATGGTAGCAAAATTCACAGTATTTAGTGAATCTGTAGAATGGCCTTGTATTCTCGTATGGGTATCCATGCCCAAGTCAGCCAATAAATAGTAGAAAGGTAAATCATGGCTGCTGTTTTCTGCCCTGCTTTAAACCAGCAGGTCCTGTCTCAGTCACAACGTTACAAACCTAAGTCTATCACCTTCCAATATGCTTGCATAAATATGAGACAAGAGCTATGCCGAATAAACACAGAGTTATCACAACTCTCCTGGATTTTGCATTGTACAAACTATTTTCAGACAAGCACGTATCGACACTGGTAAACGTGGAATTTCGTGTTGTTAATAGATAAAAACTCGGAGTGAAGGGGACGATCAATACCCTTTTTAAGTTTATAGAAATGGTTGTTATCGACCTTGGTTCTGAAACCAGTATAGCTGAATGGCCATGCTTGGGGGTCTGAACACAATCTTAGTTTGAGGAACAGATGTGCTGCAGCTCTTATTAATACAGTAAAACAATGGACGGCATCAACATACTTAGAATATGATGTGACTCTTCCTCCTCATACCCATTCAGTGTGTTCAGAAAAGTGGAAGACGTGTTGTTGAGCAGCTCCCTCACTTCTGCATCAAATCCATATTGTTTTCTAGTAAAGTTATCTATAGTATCAGTTCAGTCTTTAACAACATTATCCAGAAGCAAAATTCCTATACAAATGTACAGTTATAGCACCAAGTGTGAATATTGTCTGTGGAATGGTGATCAGTGTAGGCCAAGAAGATGAAGCCACAAAACCTATGGGTACTGTTGTCATTCCTAAATTGTAATGTATCCATGAGGTGCTGCTACAAAGCATTTAATTGGACTGACAGAAGACTTGAACTGGCATGTCTGAAAACTGGAACAAAATAAAAAAAAATACAAAACTGTCACAAAGGTAAAGAAAAGTAAACGAACAGTTTTCTAGCTTTTACCATTCACATACAAGATTACAAAGTTATCATTCTTTATTCCCATAAAAAAACTATGGCTGCAATGAGTTAAAAGTTGACTTTTCTCGTTAAATAACCTATGGCTGGCTGCGTAGAGAAACTTTGCAATTAGAGCAATCAAGATTAAACGGATGTAGATAAATAAAATATGGGAATATTTAAAGAATTTTAAGTATAATGTAGATTAAGCTACAGAATGATAAGCTTATAACTTAAGGATAATCTACCTTCTTAAGTTAATAAAAAAGTGCTGAACTGATGCCACTTTATCATCTAAGTGAGAAAGACAAGGAAATGCAGAATACTTATGATCGTTTCCATTATATTACATTAGCTACCGTACACGGTCAACAAAAGATTAGAACACAGAGCTCCCCAAGGACAATAAAAGGGGGTCTGATACGAGCTCCCTATGTCACTTCTCGGGGATCCTAATGGTAAATACTTGGTTTGGTGAAAGTCAGTCTAGTAGTTCACCAATTAAAAGCGGGAACGCAAACAAACTTTTGTCAAAAAATCGTACGGATTATCGCATTACAATTCGCATGATTTCCAGCAGCCAATCATCGCTCGTTTCTGTAAATGGCCTAGACTAGAGTTTATTTTAAAGTATTTTCTTTTTTCTAATAGAACAGGTAGATGACATCAACTACGTCTAGTTTTTTAATTGCACAAACAAGGTTCTATGTTAAAATAGGCAGTTTCGTAACTTCAGGATAAAAAAATGCGTATGTGAAAAGTTTGTTTGTTTGGTAGCAAAGCTACACAATGTGCTACCTCTACACTATCCATAATGGGGAATCAAACCCTGTAATTTAACGTTGTGACCCACCGGAGGACGTATGTGAAAACAATCTAGTCAGTAGAAAATTATTATCATTAGCGGATATATATCTTTAAAGGTTTGTATTTAAAATTGTTAAATAATAATCGACAACAGCAATAAGAAGATACTCTGGTAGTTGGGCAGAGAAAGTATGTTTTATTTCAATCTTAGAAATGTAACTTTATTCTCAAATTTTGTGCACACTTTAATAGGCCCCTAACCGTTTCTAGATAATCGTATGCGATATCACTGCAAGTAATTTATTTAAATAAGACCAGAATCGTCGTCGCTATTCACTTTGATTCTAAATCTTTCAGCTATATTGTAAAGAAAACATTATGAATGTGTGTGCTTACTACGACTGGTGAAGCTGTCCCTACGTTATCAACAAGTTACGTATCTATAGGAGTTAGTAATAAAAAGTTTAACACTCAGTCTTCGATGTCGAAAAAGTCTTAGGATTTCATATGATACAAAATTGAAAGATATGGATGTCCGACATAGCAGGGGAAGTCAGATATTTCCAAAATATATGATTCAGTTAATGTACGAAGAAACGGTTAAATAAACACTTAAAATCAGCATAACAATAGGCAATTCTAAAACTGCTATTAAAACATACAATGTTGTATTGCAGATTTAAAATATTAATCCATCTTTTGTAGATAAGGTATGGCGGTAAGACAAAACTAAAAGTTGTAGGTTTCTTTCACTTAGCTAAAACAATAAATCTGAGACACAACTTATCTTTAACATACTGATACACAACTTATCTTTAACATACTGATACACAACTGTTCTTGCCGCAGTGTTTTAAAAAGATAAAATATTAGCCAGAGTTTTGTTTACATAATATCGATGTAAAGTGAAATATTTATTATATTACGAAACGTTATGCTCTTTAGATGTTTGGAAGATGATAAACACCTTATAAAAGTTGAATTATATATTTTTATAAGAAATATTTCGAAGAAACAGTTACACACTTTATGTGTTTCATCTCTATAAAGGGATTGATTTCATAATCGTGTGCAATTTTCAACCTAAAGTTGACAATTAATTTACAATGTGAGGTGGAACAAACAATTAATGCGAACTAGAGATTCCTGGAATAACTGGAATAATGTAGGGATTTTATTCTCCTGTAAAGTCGAGACGGCTTAGTCTGCTATATGATCATTAGCCGGATCAAATGATATGTCCACTTCCATCACTATCTTGTTTGGTTCCTTTTCTCAAGTCCAGTAGGCAACCCTACATAGCGTTTTTATTTAGCTATAATGTTTTTTCCTAATAGTTGTTCATTTACTTTTTATAAAAGATGGCGTACGTGGATTACTAAGTTATAAAGTGTATTCTAAAGCTTTATAAATTTTGTATAGAATGATAATAAGATAGGTAGTCAAAGATTGTGAAGACTGTTTTCCTCTATCAAATGATGATAAAATTATAGTTACTGCTAGATCTAGGTAGGTGATAGGCCTGTTGAAGAAAGATGATGATAAACGAAAACAAGAAATCTCGGTTTTGGCTATTCGCCTATTTTCGACATTGGGATGTTCTGGATAGCTGAAAAGTGGCATATACATAGTAGATAGAGTTAGTATCATATCTAGCTTCTGATGACGTGTACAGAAGAAAATCCAGTTGAATTTTGTATTGGTTTAATACGGGCGTTCGTGCCATCCCTACACAGAAGGTACTAGCGCAAGCTCTGACGACTAGCAGTTACCTACAGAAAATATTTAAAAATCTATATATGTGGACTTTTTACATTACTTTTCTTTCTCCTACTGTCCAAGTATGTTTTTAGAATGAAAGATATTTGTTTGTTTGTAGTTAAGAACAAAGCTACATAAAGGGCTATTTTTGCTGTACTCACCATGGGCATTGAAACTCGGTTTTAGTGTTATAAGTTTTCAGACTTACCACTGTATCATTGGCAGGCAGAATGAAAGATATTTGTTTGTTTGTAGTTAAGAACAAAGCTACATAAAGGGCTATTTTTGCTGTACTCACCATGGGCATTGAAACTCGGTTTTAGTGTTATAAGTTTTCAGACTTACCACTGTATCATTGGCAGGCAGAATGAAAGGATATGTAGTTTGACATTTTAAGTTATTTTTGAACAAAATAATTTATAACAATTAAAAGTTAACAGGTGAGTACCAGACTTAATATACTGTTCACAGAGGCATATAACCTAATCAGTCATCTACATTAAATTCGCCTACTAAATGTGAACCTATGTTTATACGTGTTACTTCATTCATGATATTGTTTTTTAATAACGGATTTTGGATTTGGATTCAACTGGTTTCCGAACACGCAGAAAAGGTATATGTACGAGCTTTTTAACAACCACTCTTTGCTATATAAATGCAATTATATCTGATCTTCAGGTCATTCATTCTTGCCAATGTATATTCAATCAACTGCGAGATGAGGCATATTTCGATAATTTATTATTTTGAATAATAACGAATCTACTAAAGAGTAGTTTGTGAGAACCCGATATAAGGCTAAAAAGCCAAGTTGTCCCCGAGCTCCATACATTGTTACATCGGAACTGTAAGGCACTACTCAGGTCTAGTTAACGACAATCTGACTTCACAACCATCGTGCTTGGTGAATCAGAGGATGAGTGTACGTCGGTATTTTGTTCAGGTTGAAAGTATCTGTGCCTGAAGCTGCCATGTTGCTCTTAGACGTGAACTCGGCGGAAGAAAGACATAGACCCATCCCAGACTGAATTACTTGTCTTCCTGAACCATGGGTCTTTACTAAACTGCTACCCATTGGCGGCTGGTACGGCTTTCCGTCTCGGACTAGCACGGGTACGGCTACTCGGCGCGGTGACCGAAGTGGATTTATGTCTAAGCTCTTTTCTTGTCTCGCTCTTTTTGTTTTATAGCGATGGTTTTGAAACCAAATCTTTACCTGTGTTGGGGTTAAACGAATGAAATTTGCAAGGTGTTCTCTCTCCGGTGCCGATAGGTATCGCTGTTGTCGAAATCTTCTTTCCAGCTCGTACGTCTGTGCTTTGGAGAACAGGACCCGACGTTTACGTTTCTTTGAAGGTTGTTCTCCTGAAGGCTCGGAATTTAGAGTTTCTATTTCACCGGTATTGTTATCAGTCGATGATTCTGTAATCGCTGGAAGTTCCGAACGCATACATTGGTCACTTTCAGACTGTATATCGACACTATTGCACCTGGATATATCTGAAGCAGCTCCTCCGAACTCAATTTCTGATTCCTCAGCAACTGCTCGAGATGTGCAGTCTTCACTAGTTGTTGGAGAAATAGTTAATCTGGTTGATACATCGTCACAGACAGTTGTAAAACTTTGGCTGAATCTATCCAGCGTTGAAGTTGATCCTTTACTGGTCACGATGTGGGTAGTTAGAGGTGATGAGATCTGGTGCGTCCTGGTGGGGAGCTTTTTATGAGACAATACAGAGTCTGGACTACTGAGACTTGCTAAGGCTGTTGGGGTGTTGACGGAATCTATCCCTGTAATTGTGAATACAATAAAGCCAATAAAAATTACAGAAAATGAAAACAAGATATAATTAACTTGAATCACTTACTGACATAAAATTTATTAAAATAATTTTCCACAGCTTTATGAGCAAAGGAACCAGTAAAGTATTAACGTAAGGACATGAGACATCTTTGTACATGGAGGAACACAAAGAATAGCCATACATTATTTCTTGTATAATAAAATAGTAGCTATTTGTAACAGCATTTTACTCCGTAGTGACAATTAACAGAAGATCAATTTTTCACCCTTCGTCTTAACTAAAGTTTTAGATTATAATTCATGATTCGAAGAAATAAAAACTCCTGGAAAGAAAAAAATCAATAAACTATGTTTACATGCACATTGACTCTCATTTTCCTTCATCTTTTGAAAATAAGAATTTTCACATTGTCTTCTTTGAATCAAAATAAATTATGATTTTCATAGTTTGTATACATCAAAAAGCAAAACATGTGTAATTAAAAGAGATTAATAAACCATTTTTATATTTTCTAAAAGTCATTCGTCTAGAATTTCTATAAACAGATTCAGAACAGACAAGATCAATTTTAAAAGTTAAAAAGAAAGTTTTAATCTAAATGAACTTTTTGCAACTCATTTATCAAGTGCAAATTCTCTCTTTCTTCATATAGATAAGCCCCAGAAAATATTTATAAATAAGTATATATTTCTAGTTGTAAAAAGCAGGTTGCGTCGTCACAAGTCTATTGAGAAAGAAAGAAAATAAAAACGAAAAGTACTAATATAAGAAATTCGAGGCAATATAATTATCACCCTTATAAAAATATAAACATTTGAGTGTTACAGCTAAACTTGTATGTAAAAAAATGTTTCAAATCCCACACACACATATATATATTTAAATACGATTCTGTAAACCTTTGTCATGACCGTGTATCGAGTAGTAGTCTTAACTGCAGTAATCAGGAGAGAGATTATACGCTTTTAGAGTGTTTGTTATTTATAAAATGATTATAAATTGCTAGAAACAATAACAATGTATGGCAAACTTACATTTATTGTTCCTTTTCAGAAAAATTATTTCCCTAATTCAATCACTGTTCACAGTGTTAATTATGTTAAATTTTAATTTTAAATAACAATACTTGTTTCGTTATAATCAGTGCTTTACTTCTAAAAAAAAAAAACTACCGGATTACTGTTAATGGAGAGGGGAGTTTCAGTTTATGAAAATAATAATTTAAATGTTACTTAGGCTATTATTTGGGATAGTGCTGTCAAATATCAATTCACCATGCAAAATTATATTTACAAATAAAACTTTAATTTACAAAATAAAAAATCTGACTATTGATAAAGTTTTAAGCAATCACTAACATATATGAGTGCAATTTCTAAAATTGATTAATTATATTATATTTGGTAAAATGATATAAACTGATAAAGAGGTAGAATGCATAGTTTTAATTTGTACAAAACAAAAAATAACTTCATTAAATAAACGCATATGCTTTTGTATGAACATTACAGATTATTAGCTAAAGTAAAATCCAACTTTGTGGTAGAGATGAGTTGTAGGAGTTATCGGTGGATTTTTGTTACAGTAAAGTTAGAATTACAATAAGTACACATCCAAGCATACTTTGAGATAATACAACATATATTTATCTGCTGTTTAACACTCTACTCTGGAACTTCATAAAACACAAAGAGCAATTTAATTTGCGTTTTATTCAAAAATTTAATAATAGACTTTATACATTTACAGCAAAAGATATCGCATACCTCGCAGATTACACGTTACAAAACATTGAATTATTTTTACCAAAGTTTCTATAATATCCAGTACAGAAACAAAGAAGTAACTTAGACAAAAATACAATAACGATAAACTATCAGAAATAAGTGACTTAAACTGTAGTAAAGTAATCAGAACATTTTGCAAGATCTAATTTACTGAATCAACGTGACTCATACTGTATATTAAATAAGTTAGTATAAAATCAAGCTCAGAAAGTAACACAAGCGTCACTACAAAATAGAACAACTTTTCAGCAGTATAGTTTGAAAAAAGGGTTCACACTATAGATAAAAATGACAAGTTCATGAAAAACCAAGCACAGTGAGTGCAAACTGGATCATACAATGAACTAGAAATAATTCTATCCAAAATGAAGTACAATGAGTAAAAAATAAATAAATAAGAAGACAGAAAAACTTTTAAAATAAAATACAATGGCCAAAAAGTAACTTATAGATTGTTTTATTAGTTCGAGTAATTTTTACAACATTTGTTGTAGAAAGTTAATAACTGACTGTACCATTGTTCAAGATTTAGTACAGCACGTAAAGTGTACAAAAAATAAAAAAATATCTGGAAGATCTCGTACCACATGAACAAAGTGACTTACACTGCACCAAAAGCTAAAGATGTCTACAATATTCTATATTATAAGTAACAAAGTGACTTACACCATAAAATGTTGAAATAAGTGTATGAGAAGTTAGAAATTTCAACAAGTTACAGCACATCAAATAAATAAGTGGCACAAACTAAACCAATAATGACAAATTTATACAAGTTACAGCACATCAAATAAAGTAGTGGCACACACTAAACCAATGATGACAATTTTATACAAGTTACAGCACATCAAATAAAGAAGTGGCACACATTAAACCAATAATGATAAGTTTCTACAAGCTACAGCACATAAAATAAAGAAGTGGCACACATAAACCAA